CCTTCATCCCCAACTCCCGGAGGTGCGACCTTATCGTCCCTAGGCTGATCGCCATCCACCTGGCTGGCTGCGGGCTCCTTTAGGACATACTCCAAATGCTCTTCCAGGTTAGGTCCTCGGGCGGCCTCCGTTGCATTCTCATCATCAATCTGCGCCATGGATCTGAAGATGTCCCGGTATTCCTCTGAGAGGTCTGACAGATCCATTTCGGGATTCCTCAATCGTAGGGCATAGATGGACTGAATTGCCCATTCAGCAGCCTTCTTCTCGATCTCCAACCCTTGTCGCTGCATCTCTTCGATCAGCGAAGTAACTCGGCCCTGGCTAACTTGGAGTTCGGCCTCAAGCGCCCACCTTTGCTTTTCGGTGGCCTCCCATAGCTCCACCCTTTCCCACTCTGCTCGCAAGGCCCGTTGGGAGGTCATTTGTAGCTCCTGCTCTTTCTTGCCAGCCTCTTTGGTAAGTCTGGCCACCGTCATCTGGAGCTCCTTTACCTCATTATCGTGCTTCTCTAGCTCGGCCTTCTGAAAGTCCACCGTACGAAGAGCAGCATTCCTTTCATTCAGGTACTGGTTCACTGAAACTGTGGATAAGTCTTTCTTTGCTTCATCGGCTTCTAAGTCCCGTTTAAGCTGCGTGTTCTCTTCTCTCAACGTGACCATCCCCTCGGCAGCTTCCAACTAGACCTTTCGTAGGGACAAATGCATGGAGAGTAGAGCCTTTGAACGAAAAGAGTAACAAGTTAGTTTCCTTGCTACTGAAAAGAATAAATGTAAAGTCCTCGCTGAGGACAGCTCATTCTACCTGGCTCAGGTGCTGAAGGGATATGGACATCAGGTCTACAGGGTTGGAAGTTACAAACTTCTCAAAAGCCTCCGTGAGCCCGCACTCCAGCAGGGTAAAAACATAGGTGTGTTTGTGCCCACACCTCCAGCAAGAGTCGTATCGCTTGCTGATTCCTTGCCCGGTCTTCTCCCAGGGTCTGTGGCCTTTCTTTGCCTTGTTCGTGGCTCCCCCGGAGCAATGGAGATGCCAGTCGCACCCTTGGAAGGCCCTCCCAAGCAGAACGCTTGGTATGGCTGCGACTTCTTGGGCTGAACACCCAAGCCCTCCGGTTCGGACTCTGACTCTTCGGTCCGAAGTTGCTTTTGCTTCTTGGACTTTTGGGCCATGGTCTTGTGCTTTGGGGTGAACAGTCGAAGGTTGGGGAACCCTAGCAGGTCATACTAGAGCACCCGTCGGTGTCCCTCTGACGGAGGGATCGTTGGGAGCTGCTCCAGCTGGTCCGGTGGCGCTTACTTGGGGGAAGGTAAACTGCCTCGGTCGTGGCGATCTGAGCACCTTGGGAGGCATGGTCGCTGCATGCGAACATCGTTAGCAAAACAGTTCACTGCATGAATAATCAAAAAGCAGGCTTAGGTTAAAAAGCTTACTCGATGTGGTCTCTAAGGTTGCTTCAGGGTTGAAGAAACCGTACTTCCGTAAATATGCGGTTGTCATGAGCAGCCTTGCGTCGCGACTCTCTTCGGGTAAAAAACTGAAGGTAGTGACTCTGTCTGGATCCTTGAGTAGCGATAACCTAGTCGTTTTGTTAATTGTGAAGAAACAAAGAGCTCATTGGCGAAGACTAAAAGGGAAATTCGCGACATCAAAAGAAAGGAGAACCTACTCGGCTCCAGAAAATGGCAAATGCCATCGTATTGAAAGAAAAACAACTTCGTCTCGTATGCCCCTACATTGCTGGGGTAACTATGTTTTCCCGCTTCTATCGTAGAGCACTTAGAGAGGTAGAAGGAGTCCTTGTCCTTACTCTTCTTCAGTATGTACGAGCAATCGAGCTCTAGCACGGTTAGCTCGCCCAATCCGTTTTCGTTGCAGGCGATATACATAGTCACTACTATCATATATGTGTTCGGCGTTAGCTGTAGCGGTGCGATCCCGAAATGATCGAGCACCGACCTAACAAAAGGGTGGAAAGGGATCAACCCTCCACTCTTGAAAATTTTCTCGGAGATCGCAACCATCCCTTATGGCGGACTCTGAGCTATATGTATCCTATCTTGGAAGACCTCCACGTTGAGAGCGTATTGGTCTACCACCTTTTGAATGTCCTCGGCAGTAATCATCGATAAGATCTCTTGAGGGGGACCTGCTGGAGCATTCTGTATAGGTGAGCTGGTCCCCTCCTCAATTCTAGTCGTGGGGAGTCCATTCTACTGCGGTCTAAAAAAAGCGACATGTAGGGAATCATTCAGTCCTCATACACTGTTTCGTACGATGACGTGGAGGAGAAAGTAAAAAGCTTCCTCCTTTAAGCCCTAGAAAAACCCTAACATAATACTTTTAGAGCCACCATCAAATGGCTCAAACCCAAGGAGAATATTTCATCTCCGATCAACTACCGACAGACTATCATCCCACGGCGACTATCGAAAACAAGAAATAATAATAAAAGTGGCAGAAAAACCATCCTTACCTCTTGGAATGAGAAGATGAATCCTTCTGCTTCGAATATCAAACGCGCACCAATCTGACAGACTAAGAACCAAGGCTCACAAAAATTTTTGCTCTCTCTGAGAAGGTGAGTATTGTGGCATTACCTGAAGTGAGCTTGGGGTTTTATAGTGAAGGAAGTGGCGCTTTGGTTTTCCGAAGTCAAACGACGTTTGGGCAGAAAACGCATCTGACCGTTGATCGCGACCACATGTCGCAAATCAATGAAGAAGAGTGACCATCACGCTTTGAGAAACCAAATCGTTGTTCTCTTCCGTTAAAACACTCAAGCGATGGCACGTTTCCCTCCTCCACATTAAATGCACATAGCTAGCACTTATTGCACACATGACACATCCGCATTTAATGCTCTGATAAGGAATGTCGTTTCAGCATGACTCGCATTTAATGCGCATGGCTAGCACTTATTGCACACATGACACATCTGTCAGAGCAAAAGATATTTCATTAAATGTATAAGCTACAAAAGTGCAACGGATAACATCTAAAAAGGTTATTATATAGAACACTCTTCGTCTTATGTCAGTCGCGAAGCGACGTGACTCTTCTATCTTGTCTTATGTCAGTTGCAAAGTGACGCGATTCCTCGTCTTCAGCAAAAAATTCCACTAAGTGCAATAAGGTCGCAGACCTAGGTCGAAAACCAGTCATTGTTATAGCACTAAACATGGTCTAAGAATAGGCCGTTGACCCTAAGAGTAAGCCATTTCAGGTTGCCTATATGGAAATGTTTCTTCGACCTCTTTGCAGTTAGGTCGGATCGACCACTATCTCTTCAAACGCATCAAATCAAGGCATAATATGTAGTTTCCAAGGTTCGATTCTCAAACCTTAAAAACTATGGGACTTCTGTTATGCCTGGAAAAGTAGGGCTGACGCAGAACCCTGTCAGTGTAAGCAGTCAAAGCTTAGGTAAGTCCTACAGTCATTCAGACGCAGCCACGTCGCACATTGACGCAAGCGGCATGTTCTTGCCAGTGCAGTGGGTGTGCGCCAGGCTGGTGAAAGGCTGGAGGAGATCCACGTGTCCAATCCCTGCAAACGTTGAGTAAATCACCGAGCAGATGAACAACGGGACGCAAGGAAGGATTTACACGACAATCTGACCCACTCCCTGATTTAGTAATCATTACCTCAATTCATCCCATTATAAATAGAGAGATTTTCTCTCGTTTGTGGGATTAGCTAATTTCTCTCTGGAATAGCATATATACTCTCTTTCTCTCTTGTAACCTCTTGTAAGTCAGCTCGCTGAACGCGACCTGATCTCAAATATATTAATACGATACCAGTGGACGTAGGATTCGCTTTCTTAAGCATCTGAACCACTTTAAACACTGTTCTTCTTCTTTTATTCAGTTCAATACCTCCGTACACGTATATCTTCTGAGTTAGCTCAACATTTTTTATGTGCGTTTAATTGATGTCAAAATCTTGCATTAACAATATATATATATATATATATAAAGAGAGAGAGAGAGAGAGAGAGAGAGAGAGAGAGAGCTTAATAACCTAAAAGTTTGAATTTAAAAAAGGAAGAATAGTAGATTTGTACTGGTATATATATATATATATAGTTTAATAACCGTAGAAGTTTGAATTTAAAAAAAGGAAGAATGGTAGATTTGTCTGGTTTGTAAGTTGTAACATTCAAGGAAGCAGTGGGTTGGTAAATTTGAATCATTTGATCTGCACTGCAGTGGGTCGGTAGATTTGATCTGCACTGGGCACCGCACTGGTTTGGTAACGTTCCATTTTAATATAGATAATCTTTAATCTAATTTTATTAATATATTGGGCGTAAAGGCCACGCTATTCTTAAAAACCTGGCCACCAAGCACTATTCATTTCCTCAAATCTTAAGCGCAACAGATCAACAAACTGTTTCAGGTAATTTCTTATTTTTTTATTCTTTTAAGCGGTTATTTATTATATTTATTTTCCAAGTTATGTTTCAGTGTTATTCTTGTGCTCTGTTTCTGTGATGGGGCTGATTTAGGATGGATTGGTGACTTAATTATATAAAATCATGGATGATTATTGGAACAAAGTTGTTGAAAACCCAAAAAGAAAAGAAAAAACAAGAATCTATTTATTCATATTTGTGTATACATACCATTAGAATTTCTTATTTGAGATTATGATTCCAAATGATATTATTATAATATTATTTCTATATAATGCATTTGACTATTTATATTTATTTCTCTATTGATTTTTTATTATATCAGTTTATATAAAAATCTTTACAAAATTTGACTGTATATACATGCCTAACATTATTGTATAATATTAGAACAAGGTGAGAATATACGGTCCTAGATAACAGTTTCTTGAATTTGAGGGCAAAAAACATGGTTTATTAATAGTAACCATGCATTGACTTGACATATGAATGACGTTAACAATAACCATTTATGAAGAGAGTGTGGAAGAAAGGAATGGAGATAATTTGAGATTCGAGAAAGAAAAGTAAATAAATACATAAATAACAGGACAATAATGGGAATGAAGTGGGGTTTGTTAAAAAAATTGAATCTATTCTGAATTTTTAATGGTTTATTTAGAATTGGAGATTGTTACTAGATATATGATGGGTGAATGTTTTAAAATCTAAACTATTTCTGAAATGATATGGGTTCTTTTTATTGTTGAAATAAATTTCTAAATTTATACCAAGTTGAAATTCGATGTTATGGTTAGCTTCCATACGGGATTGAATTTTCGTGTAAATATCTTATAGCTAAAGATCGTTACAAATTGAATTTTAAACTTAGGTCCACGAATTGAATTTGGGAGATTTCTGAATACATAATCCAATTACAAATTCGGGTTCGAAAATCGTTTCCCCATATTTTTGGATTATAAAAAATTGGAGTTCAAAGTCAATGCATAACCATAATTACTTGAGCTACTCTGTCAAGTAATGATGTTGCTATTTCTTGGTGCCAAAACTTGAGCATGAAACCGTGTGCAACCTGTTTGTAGAAATGTCCACAAGACTTATCCCTCAAGTTAACTGTTTATAAGGTGTGAAGGGTATGCTCAATGCAGCCTTAACATCCTCTAAACTGTTTATAATTCATACATATGTTTCAACTTCATTCAATCTGTTACATACGAAGAGGGATTAGAATGTAACAGATATCATGTATGGTTTCGCTTATTTTGTTGTAATCTTTTACTTTGTATTGTAGGCATTAAAGTTACTTGTTGCAAAGGTTGCTTGGGTTGAGAATGGAGCTACCTATAACTCAACCTGATGATTGGCATCTTCACCTTCGAGATGGTGACCTTCTTAAAGCTGTTGTTCCACACAGGTTATCTTACTTCAAGGAGCATTGTTCTTAAATGTGTTAATGCCATTTTGAGTGAATATGAACTTATCTTTATTTACTAATTACTTATATCCACATATAGTGCAAGTCATTTTGGAAGAGCGATTGTGATGCCGAATTTGAAACCTCCCATCACTACAACAGATGCTGCTGTGGCTTATCGTGAATCCATCTTGAAAGCTCTGCCAGCCGATAGCAAGTTCACTCCACTAATGACACTTTATTTGACTGATACCACTAGTCGTGATGAGATCAAGCTTGCTAGTAAGTCCAACTTACTATTTGCTCTGTTTGTAAGCCTAATGTTATAGATTTGGAGATTACAAGTTTGTTTGTTTCAATCAGTTTTTAATTCAATTCAGATGTGGATTCGATGAAAGTATGTTTAAGGATATTTGCGTTAATTGATATAGCCTCTTTCATCTTTGTTCACTTCGAACTTGAAATTTTTTGATAGGGTAGTGCATCTATCATTGATGCAATAGATTAAGGGGAATCTTAAAACTAAATTCTTTTTAATTAGAATTCTCCTTTTCAGAGTATGAAAATAACATACAAATTTATATGTAATCACTCTTTGGGGTTGATGGTTAGCATTCGTTTGATTTTCAAATCGCTTAAAATTCAATGGTGGAGGATAAACTTCTTATGTTCATTATGAGGAGGATGCATAGGGTTGTTACTTGGTAATCGGAATTTGGGGGCTTTCTGACGAAATTATAATACTTCATGATAGTGTTTCTTCTTTCATCTATTGCGTACTTATGGTGTAATCAAATCTTAAAGTGGTAATGATGATTTGGATCACTTTGACAGGAAAAAGTGGGATTATATTTGCTGTGAAGTTGTACCCTGCAGGTGCTACAACAAATTCTCAAGATGGTGTTACCGATCTATTTGGCAAATGCCTACCAGTGCTTGAGGAGATGGCCGAGCAGAATATGCCTTTGCTGGTAATTTTAATACATCAGACACTAAACTATATTTTGATGACACTTTCGTTTCAACCTGAGTTACCTTATGAAGACTCTGGTTAGCATTTTTAATATGTTAATGTTTTAGACAAAAAGACTGGTTAAAACGTCCAAATGGAAAACTTCTAAATACAGTTGGTGACTTAACTCCATATCTTGTTGACCTACCTATAAACCATAAATGGGTAGATTGCTTCATGCAAGCCTGAGAAGGCTTTGCATTATTTCACCATGGCGTTTTTCTTCTTATTATCTTTTACCCATTTGAAGATGTCTTCCACCTGAATATTTCATGTGCATTTGCTATTTCATTTTTAGGTTCATGGGGAGGTTACAGATCCTAATGTTGACATATTTGATCGTGAGAAAGTCTTCATTGACACTGTTTTACAACCTTTGATCCAAAGGCTTCCAAGATTAAAGATTGTGATGGAGCACATAACTACTTTGGATGCGGTTAAGTTTGTTGAATCTTGCAAAGAAGGTATGCTAAAATTGCTTTCATTGAGAAGTTTTGCCTCTCAACTTTAATTTTCTTTTGAAAGAGAATGTCTCTTCACCTGATTGAATTTTCAGATCTAGACATTTGTCTAACTTGATTATGTATCACAGGATTTGTGGCAGCCACTGTTACTCCACAGCATCTTGTTCTGAACAGAAATGCTATCTTCCAAGGAGGATTGCAGCCACATAATTACTGCCTTCCAGTACTCAAAAGAGAGACTCACAGTATGCTCCATTCAACATCTCCTACAGCCCTGCAAATTAACTCAATTTCTCATATATGCATTGTTGACCTTGAAGTTTTTTTTCTTCTTAATTATATTTTGTTTGCTTTTGTTGAGGTAATGAACTTCTTGGTTATTAATTTGGACTCCATCAAATCAGGATATAGTTATGACATTACAAGTTTGCATAGTTTCATTGCAAATGGCAAACACACTCGTGTCATTTGTCTGACATTCCTAGCAAGGTTGACATGATGTTATCAGAATGGTCTAACTCTGCAATGTGTTTCAGAGACAGATATAGCAACTTTGACATATGAACTTGATAATGAAATATCATTTTGGTTTTTCCATGTCAGAGTAATAAGAGTAAATGCCTGATAAATAATTAAGAGGCGATTCTACACTAATTTAGGGGCTGAATCATGTATAGAAAATATACTGCAGAGTGCTTTGTTCCACCAACTTGTAATTTTCTGATGGACCACTGGTTTGTACTACTATTTTGTATTCTCTTAATAGAAACATAATTTTTTTAATTTCTCATATAAAAAAGGGGTCCAGCAAGAATCATTGTTTATAAATTGTTTATGTGTTGAATAATAAAAACTATAGTATGAGAACATATCAACTTCTTATTTCTTTTTAATTCTTTCTCCACAATCTCATGCTCTTGTTTCTTATCTAGGGCAGGCTATTGTTTCAGCTGTGACTAGTGGAAGTAAAAGATTTTTCCTTGGAACTGATAGTGCTCCTCATGAGAGAAGAAAAAAAGAATGTCCTTGTGGATGTGCTGGTGTTTACAATGCTCCCGTTGCACTGTCACTATATGCCAAGGTCTTTGAAGAGGTAAAGTTTTTAATTATTTGTTGCTTGCCAGATTCCCTTATATGATCAACTTTTTTCCTTTTTATTAGTTTAATTCATACAATTGAGGAAAATTCAATTAGTACCAACCCCCTGCCCAATCTTCAAAATGCGTGTTGTGACTAGATGCATTTCAATCCTTTTCATGAATGCCTTGAGGAGTTTTGATACTTGGTCTTATCTCGATGAGGACTATATCACACTTCTGGCTACTATAGGTGCTTGCTATACAGAAAATTTATCAGTACCTTGTAAGTGTAGATTGAATGAAGAAGATAACAGAAAATACAAAAATACAAAAAAATAAAAAGAATTGAGCTTTGCTCAGACTCGTTACGATTAGAGCCCTGTTTTGGCTTGTTTTTGTGCAGATCCACAGTGTCTTAGGCTATTTATAATGCGAAATCATTTTGGCAGACTACATAAACCCACACTATCAACCTTCAGCATAACATATAAGTTGAGGTTGACAGTCGCTATCTAGCATACTCTCATTCATGCTTATGTTGTAATATTTATGCGCAAAGGTTGGTGTGCATTTATTTCAATCCGTGGACAAAGTGCTTTGCAGAATGTCATTTTTCAGTACCCCTGATTGCTTTGCTTAATTAGGATAATAAACAGTGTTTCTAATGTATGGCCTTCACAATGCATATTTCGATTGTTGCAAACCGCTTTTATTTTCCCATGCTTGCCGGTGACTTCTGTGTTAAAATACGCAATCTTCTTATCACCTCCTTGAACTGGTTTGTGATTGCTTTAGATGGGTGCACTCGACAAGTTAGAGGCATTTACAAGTTTCAATGGGGCAGACTTCTATGACCTTCCTCGGAACACATCAAAGATAAAATTGAGCAAAACTTCATGGCAGGTACCTGAGGCTTTCTCATTTTCATTTGGCAATATCATTCCAATGTTTGCTGGCAAAATCCTTGAATGGCAGCCAGCTTTAATTTAATTTTCACATCACATATTGCAATAATACATGATGATTTTTTTTTTTTTTTTGCTCATCTTTTATGCTATTCTGCTTCACAGAACCAATTGTATTAGGAAATCCTTGAATGCATCAGATTGTTTCCTCATCCTTGAATGCATCAGATTGTTTGCTCATAAACAGAGAGAAGCAAATGAATTTTGATACACTAATAAGTTTATTATTCATCATTCAATGCGTTCAGCTCAATATTGTTGAGATTAAAGCATTGGTTCAAGAGTCTTATGTATATCATACGCCAGTTTGAAATAATTTTTGAGCCGTTGGATTCATGCATTTGAATGGTTAAGATTGCATCTAAGTTGTGTTGTTTCCGAGATACATTAACTAATAAAATACATTGAATCTTAACCGTTTAAAGTGCTTTCATCTAGCCACTCAAAAATATTGTTGAAATTCTTGGTAAGACATATCATAATTATGCATGGAATTATGATTGGACTTGTAATTTTGCAATTTGCAACAAGGCACTCACTTAGACAAAGTTATGAGCTATCAATAGAATCAAGTCACGTTAGCCACACGTCATTTTTGCACCACCCAACTTGTCTTATAACTAGAAAGTTAAAACAAAATTGGAGGCAATTAAATTCTCAATCAATTGAAAATAATATCGAAATGGGAGGAACACTAAATTCTCTATCAATTGAATGACTTATGTAGCTTCTTTCTCTTGAAGGGTTAGTGTCTTTGTTGCTAGAATAATACTATGTGCACTAATCAATGTGTACTAATCCAAGTATTAATATTGAAAATTTAAAATTCTCCCTCAAAACAAAATTCAAAATTTCAATGTTAGTATTTGGATTAGTACATATTGGTTAGTGCACATAGCATTACTCTTATTGTTATAATGATCTGACAAACAAAGCAATGTATACAAAGTATATTATAAAATAAATAAGTTTGTATACAAATTGATGTGATATAAAGTTAATGGAAGAGTGGTGTAAAAATGAGGATGAATGACAACAACAATAAACGAGTGATGCTACTACTACATCAGTAAGAGAAATTTATGTTTAACCCCAAGGGAATGACCTGGCAGTTAAGGAAGTTTGCTAATTTCCTTGAGTTCTAACCTTGGGGTTACTTATCACAATAATAGTGGCTTATTTGGTCTTTTTTGGGTTTGTACGGTTTTCAATAGACCTCGGGAATTAATTGAGGTGTACACAAGCAGACAGATACATGGGTTACAAAAAAAAAAAAAAAAAAAAAAATGAAAGAAAGAAATTTATGTGAGATAATCTCACAACCTCACTCTGGTGAGACCTTTAAAGAAAACCACTGCATGTTAGTTTATAAAACCACTCGTTAGATTGGTGGTTATTATGATGTGGATGGTGGGTATTGACAAATTATGGTAACAATCTGATGAAAGAGAAATTAAACACAACACCCGGTTACAATATATATATGTGTGTGTGTGTGTGTGTGTGTGTGGAGATACAAATATAGGAGGTGATTTTGACACAATAGAGGTATCTAGCTAGGTGAGACATTGGTCAAATTTGGTACCACATCTTCAGGAGATTGTGAGGGTGAGTGTGGGTCAATAAGAGCTAGCTTTTAAAATAAAAAATGAATAATTTCCAATATACTAAATAAAATCTAACATTAATTTCTATTATTATCAATGGAAGCAAGCAATGAATAGGACCTTCAGAAATGGAAGCAAGCAATAAATAAGACCTTGAGAACTTATTGTGGCTTCTGGATTATGAATGAACACATAGAGCTCTTCTAACAACTCTTCAACATTATCATTATGAGGAGGAATGTTGGTTGCCATGCCAACCTATAAAACATAAAATGATTTGACATAAAAAAAAATTTACTCATACCTCCAATATACACTATTCATGAGAGAAAACAACATGAACAATGAAAATCGAACAAAAATGTATAACAAAGGAAAAAATTGTTAGATTAAGTCACTGCAATCTTAGAAGAACCATTCCACAATAGATCAACATTTACTTGCAATAAGATCAAATACAATGCATAAATATATTAATGATGATTTGAAGCATGCAAATTATAAATGATTATGAAACAAGAAATAACAGTTATAGTATCTAACTCTAAATCTGCTCAACAGCATTGCTTCAGCTAGTGGTTGCACAACAAAAAATTAAAGAAAACAAATGATCTTTAAGAACTTTAATCAAAGAAGGTAGAACTGTGAAGCAAAAATGATTCACAGGAACAAACAATTATGTTTTTGAATAATCAACCTACAGAGAAAGACTGAACTAATGTTTCTTAAAGGCTGAATTAATGTTTCTTAAATGATTAACTATTTAAGGCTTTTAAGTGTTAAGTAGTAGTCTCATGACTTATCTTTGACATTAATTTAATTTCTATTCCCGTCAATAACATTTCTTCATGAAGTGGCTACTATCAAACTGAGATTTATTTACAAACCCATCAAAGTTAAAAATGAGCTAACAATAAAACAATGTAAATTTGCTTCTCGCATTTGTATTGCCGATAAACCCCAATGGTTTATAAGTTTATTTAAGGTCAGATTATTGTAACTTGAAAGTTTGATTTAAAGTTCTACAAACCCCAATGGTTTAGAAGTTTATTTAATTGGCAAATTAAAAGCTATATTTCAACTTCAATCAGTTCCACTTCATTAACTGGTGAATCAAGATACAAGGATTGGTAGAAATTTATGTCTCGTTTTGGATAAAAATTTAAGATACAATTTATCAAATCATGCATTATTTCAGTTAAAGAAAAACATCTTTAGTAAAAAAAATTCATCCAAGTAGAACAACATAAGTTCAAATGAGCTAAAATTATAATACATACTCCAGTTTGCACATAGTATAACACATGGCTAGGGCTATTCAACGAGGTGAGCCGCTTGCAAGCCGGCTCGGCTCGAGTATGGCTCTCCTCGTGTGGAATCGAGTGGCTTGGCTCGATTCGTGAGAGAGCACAAGCCGAGTTTGAGCATGCCTTGGCTCGGTTTGTTAGGCTTGCGAGCCAAGCCATGCTCGAATTATTAGGGGCATTTTAGGGGTTTTATAAAGTATGGGGGATTCAACTAAAATTTTCAAAACAAAAAGTTTGCAAAAATGACAAAGAACCACTGATGTTAAAATCCCTAAAAACAAAAGGAAGAGAAAAGGAGCCATTAGAGAGAGAGCAAAGAAGCGAAAGCAAATGAGTAATAAGTAACAAAAAGAGAAGAGGACGATAGGTTAAAAAGAAAAGAAAGGGGTTAGGGGAAAGTTAAAAGAAAATAAGGTGAATTTTCTTTTCAATTTGGAACATGAGTTTTGTTACCAAGCGAGAGATCATGGAGCAGAAGAAAATAAAAAACCTAAATCAAAAGGGCGGTAAGAATACCTTCAAAGTTGGTGGAGAGAGAAAGAAAGAGAAACAAGAGCCACTAGAGAGAGAGAAAAGAAGAGAGCAAATGAGTAATAAATGAGAGAGAGAGAGAGAGAGAGAAAAGAAATGAGTAATAAATGAGAGAGGGAGAGAGAGAAAAGAAGAGAAAGGAAAGGTGTAATAAATTGGAGAGAGAAGAATCTACTCTGGATTTAAAAAAAAAATTGCATTTTTTTTATTTTATTGGCTCGCGAGCCAGCTCTCACTCAGCTCGTTAAGCTGGCTCACGAGCCATACTCGAAATCCTTTTCTCTTTTCACGAGCTAATCCGAGCCAAAAAATCAGCATCTCGGCTCGAACTCAAATTCTCCTCCCTTTTCACGAGCTGAGCTCGTTAAGCCAAAAACTCAGCTTGGCTCGACTCGAAAACAGCCCTACACATGGCAGCAAGAGGATATGTTATAAAATAATCAATTTTTATATTAGTAACCGCAAATAGTAAATATATTTAATACAAAACAATATACAAAATGTTAATAAAATAGAACAACAATACAACATAATTAACAATACCAACAATGTGATCACGTGTAGAAGATCCTTCATAATGATAGGAAGAGATCCGGTAAATAATACAACCTTAGGATGAATGCTGAGGCTTGTGCAAAACACATTTTCCTTAAAACAGATTCTCCTCCTTCACTCGGGTGCACAAGGATTTGAGCAACATCTGTTTCCTAGGATACAACGATAGATGAATAGCAAGAGAATGACAACTCTTCTATTCTAACGAACTGAATCAAGCCTTAACTCTAACAAAGGAAAACCTTAAGAAAAACTAGAGAGAAAATAAGAGATTAAAAGAGCTCTCAATTTTTGTGTGTTAAGAATGAGAGGAAAAAACACCATTTTATACTACTCAAGGTGGGCAAAACATTGAATTCCACCATTATTTTCAACGTTTTCACTTTTCAACTTTAAAACCTCCTCCATTTATCCACTAACCTTTCACCTTCCAAATTCCCAACTTACATCACCACATCTCATTTCATTCAATTTAATTCATAAATTCCAACAATCCCTCACATGAATATATCTGACACATCTAGACATAAGACACAGTGATGGAGTTCAAACGGTTGGACCTGCATAGGATAGGTAGGTGTTACCCTTTTAACCTTCCCATGTGAAAGTATGTTTAATTTACTGATTGATTAGTAGACATGATGTCCTTGAACTGATTTGTCATTTATGTAAATGATGACATACTTCACAGAGGAATCCTCCTTGACATTATTCAGTTCTCATTATTATGTTTGTTTTGGCCATGAACATACCCCTGATTCTGCGAGAAGTTCTTAAGAATTGAGCCATATACAATTCCCTTTAGAAGCCGCCCTACTTCTTTCTCACATAGGTGATCTCTTTAAGAGTAACCCGCATTACTCTGCTCGGAAACTCGACACATAAGAATCATTAAAAGCTTTTGCTTAACCTTATTCCTTACGAGCATCACTGTTTCATTTAATCATAGGAACAAACTGAGAAAAAAATCTTATAGTGATCTATCCAAGTCTTTATAATTAAGTTGTCTCTTTGAACCTAAATCTTGGGATCTCCAGTCAATTAGGTTGAGTTTCCATTATATCAATCT